TAGTTAGATCTAGACAAGATTCTTTAAAATAAATTTATCAAGAAATCACACATAAATTACGGGACAAAGCTATTTCCTTTTAATATTTCACGTATTGATGTAGTATACGAAGGTTAATGATAAATACCAAAATTTATAATTTTCCTGTGTCAAATCATCTGGCGATTAGGAGTCGCCTCTCGAGTGCAAAGGGTTAAATTTGAAGCTTTTAATTTCCTTCGTTTCTCAGGACTTGTTTCGCGGAAATCAGTTTGAAATAATTTCTGCGTTTTACCAGCATCGCGAAGGGATCGAAAAGGTATAAGAGATACGATAATCGAGAGGATCGAAGTTGACATGGAACAAGCTCCAAGCTTCGAACACCTCGATCGACCGTTTATTGCCGAACGAATCCGTTCAAGTTACATCGGGACACACTTCGTCGCTCGTCTTCGGAACTTGCAAAACATTCGCCCATTATCTACCGGAGTATAGCAATTTGCGAACATTTAAGGAGCGCATGGTGTAATTCGGTTTGTTAACGTCTAAAGAGGGGGAGTGTCCCGCGTCGGAGGGGGCAAATTACCGAGTTGCGTAAAGGGATCGATCAAAGTAATTCCAAGTGTCGGAGGATTTATCGAAGAAACGTGTCGGTCGAGTGTCCCCGATGGTTTTCTGCGTCGCCCGGCTCCGCGCGCCGCCGGATCGTATTCTACGCGGTGATTCGTATTCATAGCTTTTAGTCACATTGCATTAGTTTTTTCAACACGTGGCGGAATTTTCGTTACGACGCGACGCGCGAGGGCCCCGACGGAAATTGCTCCGCCGCGCGCAGCGACAATTAGTTTAAACACCACCTTGATGGCGTCGCGAGGGCAGAAGACGGTATTCGACAGAGACGTCGTGGTTCTATCGTAATAAATTACGCCTGCGTTTAAAATTATCTCGGGGACGGGACGCAATTTGTATTCATAATCCGCCAAGAGCCGAGTAATTTCTACGCTACTAGCTGGTTTTCCGCGACAAACATATTCACGCGTTTAGTCGGCATTATCGTCTTCGCCGGCAAATGGCGGACGCGCCATTTTCATGCAGCGACACGTGATCTTGCGCGGGCGATTCGAAAATCGGAACATTTAACGTTGTTCGTTTAGGAATCTTGTTTCGTTTGTAAAACACGAATCCGTTTGCACTCTGTATTATTATTATACGGACGTGTTAGAGTCTCCAAACTAGGCGAGTGTAATTTACTAACCATTTTGAGGATTAATGATAATCTGTCGAAGAAAAACACGATCAAACGACCGATAAAGACCGTTTCTTTCTCGCGGGGTGAATGTTTTATACACACATTAACAGGCGACAAGAACGCAAGACGATTATCTGCAATTGCAGCAATGAACTTTTCGCTGAAAAAAGCACACTGTAATAACATTGAAGATTACACAGACTGGAACCTCAAAATAATCTCCGACTATACAGATTAACGCGTAGCAATTTATTTCGCATTTATCATGATCAGCGCTCATCGAGTGGCGCCAACTTGAGCGGGCGTCTGCGACGCCGAACGCCGCATTGTTGTGATCTCTGGCGAATCGAATCTGTCTCGAACCTAGAGATCATCGTAAACGACGGCAAGAAAATCATTTACCAAAACATCAACCTATTCGTCTTATTCGCGAACGTCCTATAAATAACACTGAATGCCACGTTAATTAAATATCGAAGCAATAACTGTAATTACTCGCGTGTACAATAGTATATCAATTTTCGAGTCCGCGCTCATTACTGATCATTGATTGGTCAATGAGAAAAATAATTGGTAGGTGAAGCCTATCATTTTCCGCGATAGTCGTTAAAAGAATTCTCCGATACGAATCGGGCCGAGCCAAAAATTACTTTTGTCCGAAACGCGGGTACCATTCATCGCGGCCGTTCGATTTGCTCGGCTGGGCCCGGGACCTCGTCGTGGTTTCGTTGTCCAATTAAAATTAACCAATCGACGATAATGTCTTGCGAATCGGCCGTGTCGTCGTCGTACACGGGCTGACGGGGAGGTAGGAAAGAAATCATGAGGGCCGCGCATTAATCAGCGTAATTAGACTCTATTTATCTGCCGGTTACCCTCTTGTGTCTCCCTCCTGCCCCCTCCGCCGCGCGCCGCGCCGCGAGTCGGCCAATTGAGACGACGATGGATATCGATCGGTCCGCTCATTATTGATAATCTCTACCGCCATAATAAGCGACCGATCCAGCTGTACAACGGTGGCAGCTTGAAGGATCATCGTCATGCAGATAAACGCCTGGCTCTGCCTTCCGGAACTTCGGAATTTCGATTTAGCCGTGGCGATCCGTCGCATCACGCGATTACTTTCTCCGGGTATTTTCGGGAAATTGTAATTTTCGGAGGAAAATATTTGGACGGGCTGGTCGCAGCTTCGAGTAATTAACGAGTGAAGATTTGTTGGAGTATTCTCGATTAGCTGGCGATTCGTTCGTCTGGTATTCGATTTTATGGGATTTAATACGGTTTCGTATGATTACCGATCGACCGAGAAGATTATTGTAGGATAGGTGTATTTTATTCAATATCGGACTCCGAATTTAGTTATAAACATATAATTGATATTCATAGTTTAACGATGGGAGACTAAAGAAACATGGCTCGCCGTGCCACGGGAAACCGGTTTGAAACTCATTACAAAGTAGATTTCTGCGGACGATTTTCGCACACCCTTACACATGCTCCTCGATGTCGGATACTTTCCGAATTTCTGTATTACCCCGTACTTAATCTTCACCTTACAATTATAACGCGAGCTTCGTAGAAATTGATTGCGGTCGAATTACGTTCCTCCGTTAAAAGATTCCGAGCCGGCTAAGAAATTACACTGTTACAAAATTAATCGTAGAACATTGTTTCCCGATAAACGCGGCGTCCTTGTTAGATGAATCGAGAGATAGCAGGCAGGAAAGATAGCGCTGGATCATTGTGTCCGATCGTGTCACGATTCAGCCGCGGAATTAAACGAATGATTATCATCATGTCAGGTTCATTATGCGGCGAACAGGCGATCGGGTCGGGAGCGACTTCCCCGTACGAAGAAGGAAACCGTGTTACGCCACGACAAAAATAGATCGAGGCGACTACCGGACGTGAAAATTGTTTAACTCGTTCCCTCATGAATTATTTAATAATCCGCTACCTGTACCATCCATCAGATTCGATCGCTGTTCCCGATAATAACGTCGTGCCCCGTGAGAAAAATAAAAAGGTCCTTCCATTAGACGTTAAATATCCGCCAACGAAACGCGCGACTATCCTCCATCAACCCGGGATTAACATCCTCCGCGATCGAGCGATCGGCAGCCTCCGCTCGTCCCCGGGAAAGCCGAGCGGCAAATTAAACGTCGAAAATAGGAATCGAATAGAGCTTCTCATTAGCTCGTCAAATCAATTCAGCGCCGCGGTAAATATCGAATTATTTATTCCCAATCGATCCTTCAAATGTAATTAACCCGCGCAAAAAGTCGCTCCACGCTCCCGCCGGTTTCTTTCCCCGTTTCCTCGGCGTCCCATTCGATCTAACCGTTTCGATCCACGAGTTCACCGGTGATATCGCCTGCGCGTCCGTTCGAGTCGCCCGTTTTCCACGAGCTTCTCTCGCGACGGATGAGATAAAAATTATAGGTAACCCCGCTCCGTCGGCGGTAATTCGATATTGAAACCAGTGGAAATTACGGCGGGTCGTTCGAGGGAACGTCCTTTCGATTTCTACTGATTTATCAATTTCGTTCGAATATCGTGGAAACGGTGCGCAATCGCGCGGACGGAAATTAAATCTGCATAGAGGAGAGCCTAAGAATCTCTTTTCCCCGCGGAGATTCCTGTTCCGCGGGAGTAGCGCGTTTCATCTCGTGCTATTTCATCCCGCGCGATTCAGATAACGGCCCCCGCTATTGCCGAGTCAATCATAATTGCCGATCTTTTTTCAATTCCGCCGGGCACGGGGCATTAGCATACGTATCTGAGCTTGCTCGCGTACCGGCGAACGATCTCTCTTGCCAAAACAATCCGCGGACCCGCTGATCCTCGTCGCAGATACGGCCGAGGGTAGACGGCCCTCGTAAAATCACTGAAATTCCATGTTTATTCAATATGCCCGGGATTCAGTTTCCTTCCCTTATCTACGATGAGACGATTGGGCTGAACGATACCGAGACTTGGACAATTTTCCGGCGATAAGCTCCCGTTCCCCTGCGCCACTGCTGCTGCTCTTGCGCCGGGATGCTCCGCGGTAGACAAGTTCTCTCGTGTCCAACGGAATCGTTGAACCGAATTCATCGGTTCTTGGGGGATTTATCTTCATCGATTTCTCCGGCGAACGTTGCGCTTTTATTTCGGGACGGGGAATATACGATAACATATTTATGGCTGGTTGTTACGAATTGTACGCTAGCACTTTCGGTTTACCTTGTTAATATAGAGATTGTTTATTCCTTGCGTCAGGGATGGATTGTAATTTATTAATGGAGGACGCGTTTGTTGGGATCTGTGAAGTGACTACAGATTGTCTTAAATCGCGATAAGAAAGTAATATTTGTAATATTTGTTTTATCTTTGCAGAATGGAAATAACGATGTTTCTTGCATGATTGATAAGCGAGGATTGTAGAGATATAAAGAATGTTATTCAATCGAATGATGGAGAATTCTACTGACTTTCTTTAGTCTAATATACTGCTAATAGTATGTCAGTAATTCTGCAAAAATTCGATCGACTTAGAATCATTTATAATCGAAGGTAGCAATATCGACGCGACTGTACTGGTAAAATAATGTTACGTTGAACGTTCCCGTTTGAAAACAAAGAACGGGCAACAATCGATATTGCGTGCCGAGATTTAATGGACACTTCCTGTGAAAAGGTAGTTTTAAATTCCTCGGCTTTTGAGTAAAACGAATGCTGATTGAATTTTTTGGCGAAGTCGGCGGAACCGTAAATATGTTTATTATTTCAGGATGCGATGACCAATCGGACGACGGCTCGAGCAAGAGGCGAAGGAGCAGGACGAACTTTAATAGTTGGCAATTGGAGGAATTGGAACGAGCATTTCTCTCGAGTCATTATCCCGATGTCTTTATGCGGGAAGCTCTGGCTCTGAGACTCGAACTGAAAGAGAGCCGCGTCGCCGTGAGTACACGCTTTTTCGTGATCTTAAAAACCCGGGTCCCCGAAATTACGAGGATCAGCGTTCCTCCATTCCGGCGAATAAAGAAATATTACCGTCGCCGGGAAAATAAGAAACATGTCGCCGCGGCTAAATTAATTTTTAACACTGCTACGTTCAACTCGACGCGCTACCCCGAATATTCTGCTAGAACTAACCAATAGAACTAAATAACTTTAGAAAACCCTCGAAATTAATCTAATATTTGCAGTTTAAATTAATCCATTTCAAATTATGATTAACACTAGAACTATCAGGTAGCTCACAACAACCAATTCCTAATTTTCTCTTTTACAATTACCGCAAAGGTGCAGACACTTTAAGAAATGATTAAAGAACCTGATTCAGTAATACCTAAGCTAAAATATTACTCAATTAAAGTCTTAATAAATCCCCACTTCTTACTTTTATAAAGGAATGTTCACAAGCCGGTTTAAGTGCTCGGTGGTTCTAATGTTAATGCGAAAATAATAATTATAGATAATTATTTACCTCGTAAACGTGTAAAAAGAGAATAGCAGTTGACCGAAATAAAAATATTTGAATTATAACTCGATACTTGAAATGTGTAGAGAAGATAGTAGGAACACGGAGAGATAAACAGGATCTCTCCTAATCGTTTTCAATCAACACGCAGCGACACACGTAATTATCGGCCCGACTCCCACAATCTCGGGGATGCAAGTGCACGAAAAAACGCGGTTTTATTGCCGGCCGATTCGTCGTGGCTTTATCTAACATCCGAGATCGAGCGTTCCGATAAGCGAGAATTTATAGGGACTTCGTCGTCATTTTTCGAGGGGTTGATGCACGACAGACGTCGGGGGTTGCTCTTCCTCGTTGCCTTCGGCCTCCGATCGAGTCTCCCGGGGGTAGTTAGTCCATCTGGCCCGGCTCTGAAACGCGGTCTACCTTAAGAGACTGCCCGATCAGTCCTGGCCAACTTCTGTTCGAGGGTAGTAAACTATAAAAGATCTATCTCGTGAAAGAGGGAACGCAGGGCGGCCGCGACCGATATCCATTTGAATAATGAGGGGAATCTTATGTGGACGCAATGGCGGATTCAGGATTTTCCAAGGGAAAGGGGTTCGAATATTTATCCGAGTTCTTCTTTCTAAATAACACGAGGAATTATGATTCATTCGTTTCTTATAGTTTCTATACGTTCAGTGGAAAGTTGGACAGAAAGAGAACCGTGATGAGGAACTTCTAATTTAGGGAAAGAGGAACTAGTAGATAGATATTCATTTCAAGAATAGAATAAAATATTTATTTTCATTTCGTAATTCATGTAAAGTTCCATTGCTTCAATTTAAGAAGATTCACGTCCTCGAGAGATAGGTTTTGCTCTCGTCTCGAAGCAGTTACCGTCTAATTTTCGAAAGAGGAGCATTCGATGGAATTCCGAGATCTTTCGGAAAGCTTTCCTCCGAGAACGCGAGATTTCAGCGAATCGCGTGAAAGGTACATCCTGTTCGAGTAACTGACGTCTTCCTGGCTGTCCATTTCTTCGTTCTTTTGTTTTGCCGCAGTTCCATAATTTGAATCGTGACAGGTGAAAAGAACCGGTAATTAGGGATATTTACGAGTGTTGCAAATTATGAAGATCCGAATAAATTTCACGGGTTCGGTCGTGTTTTTCCGTTTTCGCGGGAATCCGACGGATAGATTTCGACGGGATCTCCGCGACGGTTTATCGACTCACGCGGTTACGCAGCGGCGCTCCTTTCATGCGACGCGGTAACTTGTCAGCCGCAGGAAGTCGATTTCGCGGGGAAAAATAGGTTTGAATGTTATCGCCGCACGGGGGGCGCGTGCTTTTTTCCGTTCGCCGAGGCCCGAGCGTCGTGCATTCCGGGGATTAAAATAAAAGTAAGTGATATTGTTCTTGATTTATTCATCCGGAAGCACGATCCGGCGATAAATCGGCGTACCACGCGAATCGTTTTACGTAAAGGCGCCGCGAACGCGGGTAGAAGCGATTCCATGACCGGCCGACGTTCCTCAAGCCGTCGGAGATGGCTCGCCTCTAATTGACAGGTCGTATTTTTAAAACACGCGCGATGATTCCATAAGCCTCTGTTGAGTAGCCGGTTGGTCTATTCTTAGATGATTTTGTGGGGCCGTTTCGGCGGAACGTATATTTCATTCCGAGGAAACTCGGCATTAATAATATTCAATATGATTCAGACACTTCGTGCAACCGATACGATCAGACACGTAACGAAGAATGCTGAATTATGCTGCGAGCAAGCGAGAATTGCAGTGAACTACGTAAGGAGTAGACGGAGAATATTAATTTAATGAAATAATAACTGTTATCGATGTGAAACGAAACCGTACAATATATTTACGAGTCTAAGAAGCTAAAGGAAAGTAATATTGAACTCTGCTCCTATGTTCGAGGTGATCAGAATAAAATATAAGTTTATGAAAGTCCATTAACTTAAACATTCTATTGTTCCTCGGAGTAGAAGTCTATTAAGAATCTAGGGATTTAAATGATCTGTAACGGTGTAGAAAATGAAATTTCTTTGTTCGCTTGTAATAAATCAAAAGTAAAGTTAAGCTGCTATTGGTTCCATTCGGCTCTACATTTCATTAATTTTTTCCATTGGAAAGGCGCACAAAAAGTGAACCCAACTACCTCCGAACGACACATCGCTCGACTCTCGATGGAATATTAAATTAAACCGAGCTCCCGGTAGTGGCTCGTAAACGACACGGTAGATCTATGGACGCGTCCCTCCACGAAAATGTGAAAAGACCCGCGACACCCTTTTCGGTGTTTCGAAACCGAATACCGGACACTGGAACATGACATGATGGTGTCCTTGAACGGGGCCCACGAGTGGTGGACCCTCAATTTCACGGCCGATCGAACACGAGGCCACCCTCATATTCTCTCCGCGCGATAAGATATTTATATTTATGCGCTTAGACACGCTTCAGGTGCCATGTGCTGGCGCATATTGCTCGCATCGGACCGATACGATCATCGGGGCATCCTTCCCGTGCGAATAACATCCGAACCACCGCACCATTAACCGCAACAAAGTGAACAAAGTTGCTAACCCGTTTCGAAAAACTCCGAAGAGAACGCGTCGCGGCCCAGAAATCGTTAACGGTTTCTCTTTTGACTATTCAACAGTGTCTCATTAACCGCGTGAAGAAGAGCGCATCGAAAAATACGAGATCGATACAATTTGTTTAATGATCTCCTCTATCCATAACGCAACAAGCGGTCGTTAATTGTATTGTTATTCGATTCGAGCACTTTCTCGGATCCCCTCTCCGAAAATCGTCCGTTCGATCGGCGACTCGTTAACAATAATTTACGAGAAATCGACGGAAAATGAACGCAACAAAAATTGTACCGTGCGAGGGGCTCCGGTTGAACGGATAAATAACTGATAAATACGTGATGAGCGCTTTCAACTCGTCACGTATTCATTACTTTCTTCTTATTTTATGTCCCTTTTCAAGAAAAACGTCTTTTCGTGCCGGACTAATGCATTCCGCTGCATATAACGATCATCATTTCGGAGATATTCGAAAGGTTCCGTATTTGAAACGGACGTAACCTGCGTAATTTCATATTACTGATGAATTAAATGTGACAGTTGATTCGATAATGAGTTATCTTTCATATTCTTCAATTCTCACCGATCGGTACTTGAAACGGAGTGATTACGACAATTCAAACGAATAATTCACGATTAATCAACAATAAATCTACAACTACTATACAAATCAAACTTCACAATCCCTAATTTTTTCTATCAAAGTCATTACAAACATATCATAACGTATTAAGTATTCTGCTAGATTACTTCTATGAATTTCTTTCCGCTTATCATTTATGTCACGATATTTTCGCGGTAAATAAACTTGTCACAATTCTGATCCATTATAAGTTAATGTTTCAGTAAGAAAAGCGTTAAGACTACATTCTGCCTAACTTCCAAATTCCAAAGCGAACAATCGAATTCGTCGAACAGCCGCGCGAGGGGAGAAGCGACACGCGATGCCAGGCGTTGAAATCACCGCTCGACACAGCCGTTTCCTCGATCGGCAGCGCAGTCTCTCGATCCCCCTTTGTGCGCCGGGAAAACCGAGCGACCTTGGTGACAGAGGCGATCCCTAGATAACCCTAGCTGGTGGTGACACGATGTCACGCAGCCGGTGCGTCTTCCCGAAGGGTCCAGGACCGGGTCCGGCCCTCGCCGATTAGATAGTTGATCAGATAACCCCTCATTAGATAACCCCCGCGACGCGGCAGCTTTCTCAAAAATATTGTCACCGTTGAGATAAACCGATGACATGGTCCGCCGTGGACAACTGGAAGCCTGAGAATCTCGGAAGCTCTCGCTCGTCTTGGTTGTCTGCACGTGCGCCGGCTCGCGGGGAAGATAGCGCGAGCCTTAATCGCCTGTAGCCTCATTACTTCTGCTCTTTACGATGGGAACTCGTGTAGTTGGTAATCAATAGATTGCGGATTTCTATGCGAATATAATATTTTTACTATTCTAATGAATGTATGAATCAGGTAATGGTTTCTTGCTTTGTGGAGAAGGGAATTTGAGAAATATTTCATCCGTAGGTCGGAGTGGTCGTAGATCAATTAATTGAATTGCATCTCTCAGAAGTGCAACTGTCGTGTGAAATGTAATAGATTTAACTACAAAGTCTTCAACAACTCTGAACAATGTTCCAACTCGCAAAGTGTTATAAATAAGAATTGGGAATACCACCCAACTGATAATACATTCAACAACTAACAATTCACCTTGTCAACCGGATCTCCCCAAACCCACGAAATCAATTGAACGATATCTCCGCCCATCCCTAAAAACCCAGAAACGCAAGACGAGGTTCATCGATCGACAGGCCATCACGTCAAAGCGTCGACGTTCGGCGAGCCGCCATTTTCACGTCCACCATGATCTCTTCCGTTTATATTCAAATGAACCGCCATGGTCGGTGCTCGTTAATTATCGATCGTTGCACGCGTCGTACTCCCCCCCGGCCGCGATTAACATATTTACTCAAAAACCGCCGAACAACCTGTCTCCCGCCGCGACAGGTCTTCATCTTCGCACGGAAAGAGGTGGAGCGGAGAGGCGCGCGGGTCGCGCGCACGGCGGAGCGATGGAAGGAGATCAAAGTATCTTTCAATCGGAGTGGCGGAGAAGGACAGCCGGGCTACTGGTTAAAAATCAATCGCACGGCGGACGACGAAACGTCCAGCATCCCCCGCCCCTCTTTTATTATTTCCACGTTTCTTTTACGACGTCGCGTCAGAACTGGTCCTCTTTGATCCGCTTTATTAGCCCTGCCGGATGATTGGCTCCGATCGGACCGACGGCGGGTGGGTGTGGGGTTGGAGCGGAGGCACGGGAGGCAGGGGGCAGTTTCAATAACGACGCGGCGAATTTTTTCGATCGGGTTGCCAACTTAACAGCGCCTATCGGAGCCCCGAACGACCGAGGATTGCCATTCAGCGAGCCGAAGTTGTGCCAGATGTAATGGACTTAACGCGTTCGCGTCGCTGACGCGCGACGGCTCGCGTTCCCTTTCTACGAAGCTGGCAGGTTCTTTTATCGCGCCATTGTGTTCGGAAGAATCCACCGCGAGCGAAACGCAGCTAACCGCTTTCCTCGGCTACGAGCGAAAATGTGCTGGTGCCAATAGTCGGTTTATCTTCATTGAATTCTTATGTAAATTTAATTTCTCGGGTTATTAGCAATACAGTTACCTATAATTTGAATATATACTGGAGATTGTAATGTAACTATGAACTGTGTAATTTGAGGTGATGGATTATTTTCCACTGTTTTCTGGAGAGGCCAATGACAATTTTGAAGGTGTTGCTTTTTTTCGAATGCGAGTTTTCTTTTTCGTTTGTTTCGTGGCCGGCTGCGTGCCGAGGCTTATGGTTAAAGGTCATCCAAGGTCGTCGAGGGTCAACTACGACGGGGAATGATTTAGTTGAAGGAACAATTGGATGATGTGATTGGACCTGGTTGCTCCCTCGTGTTCGCGTTTTACGATCTATTGTCGGCCCTTCTCGCCGGACTGATCGGTGAGAACGTTTATGGGCGCAGGACGCGTTAATGGCCGAGGCATGCGAATCAGAGGAGAGCAATAAACCCGGCGAGCGAATACTAATCGGTGTAATTGTGCAATGATTATCGATACACTGTATACGATTACGCGATGGGAAAAAATTACGGCGGAAAAACGGTCTCGCTGGGAGTTTCTTGCTTGAATCTAGCCGTTCGGTCGTAATGGTTGTTGCCGTTGCTGTTCTAGGATTTTTTCAAACATTCTTAAATGTTAATGACTGATTTTTGAAAGATTAGTGAACTATCAGTGGTATTTAAAGCGGCGAACGTAGTCGAGGACATAAAGATTGGAGAATGCGTTGTACATTAGTAATTGAGTCGCTCAGAAACAAATACGGTTCTCCTTTCGGAATTTTATGGAGCATAATTCACTTGAGATTAATGGAGGTTTAATTTATATGAATTATTTGACAGATGCTGACGAAACTTTAACCTCTGAAATCTCTTTAAGGAAGAAGGGACAGTTGTCCCATATTTTCTGAAGCTTCCAGACACCCCCGGTTTTAAGAGACTTTTTTTTCAGAGGATTTTATAGAGGCTTCTCTGAAAAAACAGCGTGTGAAAGGGGAAAAAGTGATGTTACACGTTTCAGGAGTCGCGATAATCGGTGAAACAGCTTGTTAGGCGTTATCAGTTGGCGATAATGTCTAACGAATAGTGGTAATAATACCGAGGTAACGTCTCTCTCGTGTCGACTTAATTAACCGCAGCTGTTAATCGTCGCACTTTTGTTCTTTTTTTCTGCTGACGAAAAAGATCGTCCGTTCTATCTTAAATGAAACACGAAACATCTGCTCACAATTAATACATCTCCGAAGCAATGTGGAAATATTGCATGTACCGTGATCGGTTCGATTTTTTTTCGTCCGCTGTTTATCGCTCGCGTTCTGCTCGTTTTTTAAATCTAAAATTATTAAAAATCCCGAGATTACGAACTAATTTCTTGTTCGTCCGTGTTTGCGACATGTCATATCTGAAGTTATCACTGCGACAAACGAATAATATATTTAACCTTTGCGGACAATATTTTATCTCGGGTTGCATGTTCGAATAAAATTGAATGATGGATACACAGCGAGTAATTAATATTGTTTATTATTTCTGTTAGTGATACTTAATCCGCGGCTGTGACGCACTCCCGAATGATTTATAATTCGTCGAATTATGCTGATTCAATTCTTCATGATATTTTCACGGATGACAGGCAATAGATGTTTACTTAAATTCTGATTTTTTCAAATGAATACGAGGAAAATAGACTGTAAAAAATTTATATTTTACAAATATCTTAGAAACTGTCAATATTCTTATAAACTTTCCCACTATCTTTCGGGGAAGCTGAATAATTTCCTCCTAAACAAGAAACTTACTCCGAATTCTAATTCTCACCATTCAAGAATGAATCGAGAAACCCTGAAAAATGAACTAACCCACAAATTAATTCTTCCTGAAAACTTTTATCAGCTACAAATTTACAAGGATCCCCATTCTACTAATACGAAATTATCGTGTTTCGAATGTTATGTAAATTTGAAAGTTAGGGTACGTTTACCCAGCCGCATCCAGTAGCATCCCCTAACTTATTCCAACTCGAAGGAAAAGTTCGGGCAGACCGTGATCCGTCTCCCACTAAAAATTAAATAGTCCCAGGGTAGATCCCATTCCCGCGGTGGGGAGCACGTTTCTTGATAAAGTAATTTACACCCTCTCCCGCCCCTCCCCCCCGTCGGAAGAAAAGGTTTCTTAAGAAGTTCCATCAAACTCGGCTAGTTTCACTGAAAAATGACCAGCTGAACGGCCACGGCAATCTGATCCTTTCCCACACCCCCGGCCCGATTCGATCTCGTTTCGCCGTTGGGCAAAAAGTAAACAGGAAAACGGGAACGGGAAAGAAATCGCGGGAGCACGTGACGTGACGAAGGTATTACAAGGGTTGGTGTGCGGGGTCTATTGATCTGCGGCTCGCGTGTGAACAGCGCCGCATACCGGCCTCCAGCCACAACTAATGTCTTCATCCTTTTCAACCACCTTCTCAACCCCTTTTACCGCTGCTTTCTTTCGTTCTTTCGAGGAGATGCGTGCACGCGCTGCCGCGCAGTGAAATTCACGCGGCTCTAAATCGTGCTTCACGCCACGAGCGTTCACGCGAGCGAACGGGGTAAAGTGTTGAAACTGTTCATGAATCAAGACACTCCGGGGGGTCGTTGGTCCTGCCGCGTGTCGGGCTTGCCGCATTCGTGTAATTCTGATGTTTCAACGTTGTCGCCGGCTACCCTTCGAGGTAGTTTTAATTATTCGAAACAATGGGCTGGTTAGCTTGATCATCGACGTTGCTTCGAGTTTAGAAACGATGCTATTTGCTTCTTGAAAAGTGTCTTTGTCGAGAGTGATATTATTCTTCTCCATTTGTCTAATGTTTGGAGTTAGTTTGACGAATCTGGAAATTAGAATAAGGAGGAACTGAGAGAATTGGAGGAAGAAGAGATACAAAAATTGAGTTGTTTGTGATTGAGAATAGCTTCGTTAGGAAAATTATATTAGAAGGTTCTTGCTCTCCGAATGATTATGGGGATTAATGAAGACGCGCGGTTCGTTTGATTGCAGGTGTGGTTCCAGAATAGAAGGGCAAAATGGAGGAAGAAGGAGCACACGAAGAAGGGGCCAGGCAGGCCGGCGCACAACGCTCATCCTCAAAGCTGTAGCGGAGAGCCAATTCCTCCGGAAGAATTGAGGAGAAAGGAACGCGAAAGGCGACAGAAAAAATTATTGAAGGCTCTCGAGCGACAGCAGAGGAAGTTGGCCGCGAAGGTAAGTTTCGGAATTCACAGATAAATCAACCTGAAAACATGTTCTGCCTCTCTCACCTCAAAACAGTTCACTAAACCACTACAGAAGTCCCAACCTCGTTAAACCAACATCCAACCGAGAATAATACAACCAGAAACTAAAATGTTCCAACTCTTAACAACCTCAACAACCATCATCCCAATTTCAATGATAACACTAGCTGCAACAAGGGCATAAAATCTAACCATGATCTATAGAAATCCACAGAATGCATCCAATTACTTCCCAGAAACCTGCCACGCCCATATTGCAACTAAATCCTGAGCGCAAGCATCAATCACACAAGACAGCCACAAAACACCACGAGACAACTAAAATCCTCACCCCACCTCAAGACTCACCCAAGGACACCTAGGCTTAGTCTCAATCACAGAACAAGGGCCAAGAAGCCAACCGAAGCCTTCGATCTTCCATTTTCAGGGTATCACGGTTGACCTTCCGACCCTCAGAGCCGAATGGGAGTCGCGGAGCGCTGCGGCAGCCAGTGGAAGCTCTCTGAACGGCACACTGGGCAGTTCATTCAGCCACTTGAGCAACAACAACGAGAGCAGCAGCGTGTCAGGGTCCGGAAACGACGCAAACGAGGAGATCGACGTGGTCGGCGGACTGGATTCCTGCAGCGAGAGCGGCAGCGAGAGGGTCGACTCGGCAGCCGACGGCTCCGTGGACGGGGAATGTTACCCCAGACTGTCCAGCACGTCCAGCGACCTCAACGACCCGCGAAGAAGCGTGAACCAGGTCCCCAACAACCTGCAGAATCCAAATTCCAGCCTGAATCTAGATCACCTGAACCATCAGCAAGGTATCCACCACTGGGGACTCAGTCTGCTGGAGAGAAGAAGGGAGCTAGTGAGCATGAACAACGCCAGCGCAGCTCGCCAATCAACGAACAACCCTGGGAACCCGGAAAGAACATCGGCCAGGCAGCAGCAGATCAGCGAAGAGGAGGTGCAAAGCAGTAGCATAGACCTATCGGTGAAAGGTAGGGAGGAGAGGAAGAGGCTGAACCCGTTCTCCATCGACAGCCTGCTGGGCAACAACGGAACGAGTACACCCGGTATACACAACGAGTACAGGGCCTCGACGCCGACGTTGTCGAACGGTAGGGAGTCCAGCAGCCCTACGTCGCCGATCTCGGTGCCCACTTCGCCGTCCACGACGTAGTGAAGCCTAGCGCCAGCCCGTTGGCTACCGCGCCATGGACGTTCGATCGACAACGAAGTGATTGGCCCAGTCACCAGACGCTATCGAGAACAACGAGGAGGATGGTTTTTCTAGAGTAGACAACCTAGTAGCATGGGAGAGGTTTTAGATAGTCGGATTTGGAGAATTTCGATGAGGACAAGGCTGAATTTCACTCGGAGGAGAGCTCGTCGAGTACGATTAGGTAGTAATTGCTCCTCGGGAACTCGGGATCGACGGTACGATCGGCGCTGTTCGGGTTGACCGTAAGATCGGTGGGTGGATAGTAGCGCGACGTAGGTGGAGAGCTCGCTGACTGATCGGAGGAGAGGGCTTATATCAAGTTTCGACATATCTGCAGTTCGAGTGTGTGATTCACGAGTCCGATCCCCCTCGCGTGTCCCCTTCGCCGCTCCTGTCGGAGGCGAGAATGTGCAATAAACGAATTGGGACGGTTCTCTTCGTCCGGTGAACGCGTCGGGCGGGTTTCAGCGTCACGGGCGACACACGGGGGAGGAGGAGAACGTTAGCGTGTACGTTGAGCGTGGGTGAGTGTGCGTGTGCGTGCAAGTATGACGGATTGCGCGTGTATTTAATGTAAATAGCTCGAGAGTACGAACGGTTTCTGTTTTATTTAATTCTTGTAGCCGATTACCCCAGTTCGTCGAGTCGCGGGAT